AGAGCAGGACACTTTAACTCACTGCTGCCCGGGGCCACATGTAAGCCCTTCTGAGCCCAGACTCAAATGACTGGGCCTTTTGTTTTCCGTCCTTTTTCTTATGCGAAAACGATGCCGTCTGACTCCTGTCCTGGAGGGATTCCTGTTGTCCAGCCAGCATGTATACACTCATTCATTCACCACCGTCCCACCCTCCATCCATTCGTGCATCCATCCATTAATGTCAGCCACTCGTCCGTCTTCACCCCGTCAGTTCCGCTCAACCCACACAGCTCCCAGACCCCAGCAGGCCACTGGAGAACAGGATTCGGCTACTCTCACAATAAACAAACAGTCACTCATAGCCTCTTAGGGCCTAATCCCCTGGTGCCAAACAGGGAGATGGGGAGGGGGAGGCCCGGGAGAGTTTGCAGAAACATGGTCCCATCTTATGGGGGGTGGGCAATATGATGATATAATATAGTTATCACAATACGTTATGTCATGATAAGCTAAGGGTATTTCTTTTCATTTTGCGCATATCCAAATTTTCTCAGTTTCAGGTTGAAGAATGAAATGCCTGTCTATTTCGAGTAAAGAAAACCAGAAAACAGAATTTTGTAATAGCAGGAAAATAGCATGTTTCTTTTAAGAGAGGTTTAGTAGGATCCCAAGTGGCTTACCTGTCTAAAGTTTCACCTTATTGGCGAGAGATCTTTAAACGTGGCACAACTCATACATGCAAACTTCTCGCCTTTCAGTGAGTTGAATTTCAGCAAATCTGATCTTTAATAGATTTAATGAGTTTTTAATTTGAGCAGGGGGAGGTGCCTGTTACCAGTAGAGAATTCAATCCCTCCTCTCACCAAATACAGCCCAGCTGCAGCTCACAGTCCTTATTCAGCCAGACCACAGATATAGTATTCAGTTTTTATTGGCAAATCAGAAAAAGAGAGAGAAACACATTTTGTGAGCTGTGAAGTTGGTTTCATTTTCACATATTCAGATTTCATTCTTTGGTAGGTTTCTGTCAGTGGGCAAATAAGTTTACCATGTGTAAATTATCATTGTTAACAAAAGACAATCAGTTTCGACATAGTTTGAGTCTATCTAGAATGTCTATTTCCGTGGACTGTCTTAACCGCTTTGACTGTCTACAAATTTCATTGCAAGTGGCGATCATTGGGGTCCAAGCACTATGGAGCCAGTAGAACACAAATGATGAGTTTTTAGAATGGCCTTTATTTATAATAGATGTGGGGTCCAAACTGAGGTTTGCACATATTGACCTTTTGATCTTGCAACAGATTTTAACAAATAAATTAAAAAACAATATAATCTTTGGACATAACTTGTATAATTGTTTAACCCAATGAGCTAAATAATTCCACAGCAGTTACCCCTGTCTTTTTGTCTCAGGGTGCGCCAGAGTTTTATGTTAAAATCACAAAAATTTGTCTTTGGAATGATGCTGCCAAGTTCCACTACATGGCATTGGTTTCTGAACTCGTCACCTTTTTCTCTGCTCATGGGTTTTTGTTTGACAGTTTGACAGCTGGAGCTGTTCCAGCTTATCAAATCTCAGAAAGAGAAAAGTCATGATATGCATTGTATATCATGAAAATCATTTCAAATATGATATTATGATATTTGCCATGTCGTCCACCCATATGTCCCTTCCATTTGAGCACTGGGAAGTCTATATTACATCGATGTAATGAGCATTCCTCAAAAGTAATAATTTCCATACTTTCCTCTGACCTCTCCTTGCTTTGTTGCCAACAAATCCAGTCCTCCTTTCCTTTCTCCAGAATCTGTAATGTTCTCCCGCTCACCCTGCGCATGCTTTGATTGGCTGCCCTAGGAAGGAAGCAAAGCGTCAGCCTCGTGCTTCCTGCTTCCTGTTGTGTCCAGTGCACAAAGACAAAGCCCCTCTCGCTCCACCACATTCCTCCTCTGTTTTGGAAAGTGAAAAAGTTTACCTCCCCAAAAAAAATCACACTTTTACCATGCCGTAAGCTTGAGCTGGAAAAATGGCCTAGATTCAGCAATGCTCACTTCTACGATTGCTTCTTTTAAGGAGTCCACCTAAGAAATACTTCCTTTTGTGAACTGTGGTGCATTTCGATAATAGGGTTAAAGACTCCACTGTAAAGCCTCCATACACTGCCCTAACAAAAACGCAGGCGGGTTTTTGTTCCTCGTCGTTAAGAAGCCAGCCCCGTGTATTCATGTGGCATGTGGCATCTCCACTATTTGCAACAAGTGTTTTCCCTCTAGCTGAATGGAGCAGCATTCTGCGCCTGTTGTCTGGGCCTGAAAGGGCCAGTGAATGCCCGTGGCTGGACTCTCGCATGTGGCCGTGAGCAAGCGAGGGGACCCAAGAATTCAGGGGATTATGGCTGGAGAGGCGGAGGCTGTGGGCATGTAAATTGGGGTGTGCAGCAGCTGTTCAGCTGCCTTATGGGTGAATAGGACAGTTCTTTTTCTTCTCTGACCCCCCCTCCCTTTTCTCTCCAGCCCCAGCAGGAATCGTTATCCCTCTCTCCATCTACCTCAGCCCCTCTCTCTCTCTCTCTCGCCTTCTCTATCTCCACCTCCCCACACGGTCGCCTTAATGAGTCGCAGTAAAGTCTCGGCAACAGCTGGCAGAGAAACAAGACGAGGAGTGGACTTGAAAGGAGAAATGAATAACGCCTCGGCTGGCTTTTGGTCGCCACACTGAATTCTTTTCATGCTGTGAATTTTCTTTTGAAATCGGAGAATGCGTGCTCTCATATATTTTGGGGTAATGTATACCTCCGCTTAAACCCCTCCTGTTTGAGCAAGTGGCCCAACCCAAAACAAGCCCTCAATTGGTACAAAGCCCCGAAGAAGGAAGAAGCACCGCACTTTGTAATTAATATTGTTGGCAAAATAGCTATTTAAACAGAAAGCCACCAGGAAATGGAAACAGTCATTTGGCGTGGGCGTCTTGAGTTACAGTAATATTTTGAATGGAGCTGAACTGAATGAAACAGGACGTTCTCCTCTGTAGGTTTTCACTCAAGCAAGAGTCCTTAAATCGCCTCAGTATCGAAACCAACACTGACTCCTCAAATATTTTATCTCCACTCTCGCTGTATCTTTGGCAGTATTCCAAAACCACAGAAACACGCACAAAACCAAACTGAATTTTTTTGTATTGTTTAACTGCATTCCAGTTGTTACGCAGTAATACGGATGATGATTTCTGCTTTGCTATGTTCCAAATTATCTTCTAATTAGTGCACATTTCTCTGAAAGTGATATAGAACCATTGATTCTCTGTGCAAGAGATAGAGTGGAGGACAGACTGGTGGAGGGGAGGTGGAAGTTGATAGAGGAAGGACATGAGCTGCACATGCTGGAATGTTTCTAGACCAATTCAGAGGAGACCTTTCTCTGCCTTCCTGTTTGTACAGTTTTATGTATGGTTGTATAACTACGTTTATGTTTGCAAATCCTACCCTCTGCCGTCCACGTCATTCAAGTCATGCTATATTTGTCAATGTTTTATAGTAGGATTCTAGCCATGTACTCCTTTCATGTGCGGTTATTGCCAGCGATAATAAAAGTATTGCGAGATTTGATGTTTATTATTAATAAGCAAGTGGAAAAGTTCTGTTGAAAGTCTATATTTCCAATATATGCCACATTTGTGTTATAAGTAATAGAGGAGATATTAGTATTATTTATTATTTGCAATACAAATGGGAAGACTCAAATACAAATATACTGTTTATACAGAATATAAATCTAATGTAAATGTATAGTTATCTAACTCACTATGTAATTAAATATTTATTTACATAGTCACTAGTGGTGTTGTTGATGCATTAATAATGCGTTAACACAATGCATTATTAACACTATTGATTCTTCAATGTCTTTAATGAATTTCCCTTCAAACCATCCACAGGCGTGGCTCCACACAATGTGGTGGGGCAAAAACGTAATCTTTCTAAAACAGAAGGGAAAAGATAAATAAATAAACAAATAAAAAAGCTAGTAGAACTGAATGACTGAGAAAAGACACCTAGGCAACTGACAGTCTGACTAAAACTAACTTTTTCAGCATTGTGTTTTGCTGAGAACTTCACCTCCTGTTTACAGGACTTTCATGGCACGTGTGAACCTGTATATGAACCCAGTGTAATACTGTTCAAGGGCTGCATGTGTGTATGGCGCAAAGCCCAACATTAAAAGTGTGCTGATGATGTCCCGGGTTTAGCATGTGAAAAGGGCTCGTGTTGTGACCCTGCGCTCTTTACTGGGTTTGGCTCAGATAGCTAACATCAATTCTTAGTTTAGCGTTAGCAGCTAGAAATTCTGAGACTGAAATTTAGTAAATTTTACATAGCATACATACAACAAAACACCAGCAATATCAGTCATATCAGGAATGATAGCACTGGTGCACACACTCAGCAGACCACTCTCGACAGTGTTCTGTCCAAATTGGAGACGGTGGATGGATTTATATTTAGGCAAATTTAGTAAATACACTCTATTGAAGCTTATTTTGTCCACTCATATAGCTGTAACAAAAATGCCCTGCTTTTAAAGACAATTTGGAGCAAATAAGACAAGTGTGATTAATCGTGATTTGAGTTAAATAACAAAAGAACGTCCATAAAGAATGTTCGGTCAAAAATGTTTCCGTGAAATCTGTTTAGTCTCTGACAGATGCAGTGTTGAACACATCCGTTGGTTTATGCGACTTGTTCTGTCATCTCGCTTGTCAAGTGTCGATGACAGTCTGGAATGTGGGATGACTGGTCCTGTTTGCAGAGATGAGGGGGGGATGGTTGAAGAGTGTGCCTTAGCCATGCTCAGTGAACTTTGTACAGTTTTATATTTCAAAAAGAAGGCTTCAAAAGAGGCTGCATTGCTGAACTCATGCATTATTGCGTTATTAACAGACACTCCCAAAGCAGTATCATTGTTAGATACTCTTTTCTTTTTCTCATCCAAGTGTTGCATGTGTGGTCTTTTAACAGAGTGTGAGCCAGGCTTCTTCAAAGCCTCAGTGTCCAACGAAGCCTGTGAGCGCTGCCCGAAGAACACTGAACCATCCAGCCCTGGTGCTCTGAGCTGTCCCTGCCTCCAGGATTTCTACCGGGCTCCAAATGACCCCCTGACAGCTGCCTGCTCAGGTGAGAAACTACAGCCTTCCTCTCCACACTGTCCTAATCCCCATTATAGCTGATAACAAGGACCTCGTCATGTTTTGGGAAGAGATCTATGGCATTTCCTTCATAGACTTTGCACATCTTCACCTTCTGAATTTCTTTGGAGCCTAAAACCCTAGTACAGTCTCCAGCTCTCAGCCTGGAGATGTACCATCTCACGGAGTTTAGTGCCAAGTAGGCATTTCACCATTCCAGTACCCAGCACTTTATCAGGCTCATACCGGCAGAAAATGCGAGATCAGATATTTGGAGGAAAAAAAAATGCCTGAACTTTTTGCCTGAACTTAAAAAGAATTGGTTGCAGTTGTGCTTAACATGAAGCAGAGACAAGTAGGTCACATGATAACAGTAACCTCTCTTTATACATTAGATTTTTGATGTGATTTTTGATATGAATACATTGATTGGCTGGACGGAAAACTGTAAACTCAGGTGAATCTCTAGGAGATGACCACTGGGCTACTGCTTCCTTTGCTCCCTGGGTAACTAATGGCTTGTTTATCTCCCTGTACTGTATAGGTTTGCCCTCAGCTCCCGAAAACCTGGCTGCCACCACAGCCCAGATGGCCGTAGGGAAACTGCAGCTGTCCTGGAGCCCCCCAGCTGACACAGGAGGGCGCACCGACATCACCTACAATGTGGTGTGTGATCGCTGTGAGGGAAGTGTGTGTCAGCCCTGTGGAGAGAAGGTGCGCTATGACCCCAGCAACATTGACTTGAAAGAGACCAGTGTCATCATTAGTGAGCTGGAGCCGCATCTGAACTACAGCTTCACTGTGGAGGCTCGCAATGGGGTTTCCCAGCTCAGCCCTCAGAGAGCCACCAGCACCATCAGCACTGCACTGCACTACACAGGTCAGCAGCATAATCGTTTGTGGAATGAACTGCTTGTGTCCTATAGGGTTGGGTATGCCCTCACAGCCCCACCATCATGGAAAATTCAGTCTGAGATTTTCAGTTTTTTGGTGTATCAAACAAGTCTATACTTGCCCCTCTAATACTGCCCCCTACACTTCCTGTAGTTTATTGCAGTCTGTCAGAGTGATCATGGATATCATATAAATATTACAAAGCTTTACAGAGCGCATTTGGTTTTAAAATGCCAGCAAATTCATTGTTCCACAATGGACTCCACTATTAACTTAGCACCAGTTTAAGTGTTTTTTTTGGCTTATAGTTTTATGCAAAAGTGGTCAAATTACAAATTGTGTTGATTTTCTAATGAATATAAACACAAATACGTCCACACTAACACATTTCTGTACATTTTAGTGCCCAATTCCTGTTTATTTGCTGAATTTAACGTTAACAACAATTCAACAATAAAATATTAAGTATGTGAAAAGATTATGGCACATTTTACATGTTATGTTTGCCAAGTATGTTAAACTCAGCAAATAAATAAAAACTGTGCACTAAAATATGCAGAGAATGCCACGTTTAAGTGTGTTCCATGCAGAGAATGTGCTAACTGATTTCAAAAGCATGTATACACAGCATGTAGTTTGACCAGGTGTGTTCAAACTTTTGCTTACAGCTGTAGACCTTTTAATTGTGGAAAGATTGCATTGTCCTTCATTAGTTTTGCATTGTGCTTCACAAAACTCATATTTTCTTATCACAGACCCTCCAAAAGTGACTGCAATGCACCTGGTTGAGAGCAGCCCTACAAGTCTGTCGCTGTCCTGGTCAGTGTCTCGCTGGGCCAAGCCCAGCTCCACCCGCTACGAGCTTATGTATCGCAAAAAGGTCAGTAGCCCTATCAAATACTAAAAATCTGGTAAACGATTAACTTGTTCCAGAATTCAGAATAACAGATTTAACTGTTAAATGTCCTTTACAGGAGAAAGACGAGGAGAAGAACAAAGTCACCACCTACACGGTGCTGGTCCTGGAGAAGAACGCTGTGCAGATCTTTGATCTGTCTCCCTCTACAGTCTATCTGTTTAAAGTCCAGGCCCTCAGCCCTGAAGGCAACCCAGGCAGCTACAGCATGGAACAGGAGTTTTCAACCCCAGCAGAAGGTACATGCAGAAAAAAGAGGTCAAACCAGTGAAATATCACTGTGTATGTGATCAGTGTTTACACTGTGTGTGAAGGGACAGGGTGGTAGTGACGTTGTTGTTAAGTGGCTCTGTACCAAGAATGCTGCATTGGTTTATTGCGTTTTGACTGTTTATTTTTTTTAATAGTGTTTTTGTAATCAAATGATAGGTTGTGTTTGTTTGATCGTGCTGTAGGTACACTGAGTTATTCAGAACCTGTGTGAATGCTTTGCCTGATTCCTGTGCTGTTGTTGTCTCAGTTCCTCCAAACCAGGGGAACACAGCTGTGATCCTTGGAGCTGCGGTGGGAGGAGGGGTCATGCTGTTCATCGTGGTGGTGGTCCTGCTGCTGCGCAGACGGTCAGAAATAACTCCTCTCTGAGTTCTTTAATTATTGATGTAATAATACAACATACTATACCGAATTGTATCGCAGCACATCACATTGTATTGTATTGTGTAGCATGTTAGCGTGGGGCTAACGTTGTGACGAGAGCATTATATCGAGATGCTGAGATCGAGCCTTTTATTTTCTATCCAAAACCACCTGTGAAATGAACATTATCTCAAATTTATCGCAAGTCAATATCTCAGGCATTAGGCGGCACATTGCTAATAATTTCATGTAATAACTTTCTGTGAGCATTAAACGCTCTAGACTCCTGCTTCCCATCACCACCACGACAAACAATTCCGATTCAATAAGTTTCTCTATTATGGCGCATTTCACACCAAACCACTCCGAATGACTTTGTTTACATCTTGAGCATTTAATAATTCAGAAAATTAGAAAAATCTATGAAGTTTATTTTTAACATAAGCCAGATTTTTAGCCACTTCTTCTTTTCTCTGTATAGAATCAAGAAGTCACTGTATTGTATCAAACGGATTCCGAATTTTGTGTATCTACCTGTAATGTGGGAAAAAAACAGTAATTCTTGTAGTGACTTCAGTGATTGGCTCCCTAGCTAATGACAATACCAATAACATTGCACTATCTATCCGGGTAGGTGGTTAAGATAAGAGAAATAGGTCGTAAAGGCATTTTCTAAGCCCTTTTCTAATCTCTGGAATACATATAAGATCTTTTATCGCATTGGTCATAAGCATTATGTGATAACATTTTCTCACACACGTATAACTGAAAATCCTGTCAGAATCGTACTTCTGATAGTCTCTTTTCGCTGGCCTCTTGCAGCAACCCCCTCCTGCTTTTTTCATGAATGATCCAAAATGTCCAAACCCATTCAGCGTCCCCCCTTTCAGAGCTCTCACTTTCTCTTTATCTCAATCTTTTCCTCAGTACTCGGGGGGAAGAATTGCTGTTGAATGCAACTTGTCACTGCTCAATAAGTGCGCTTTAACAAGAGGCGTGTTTGAAAGGAAATGAATCCGGGACGTACATTGTGCCAGATAAGAGGCGGTTGGTTCTTTTTGGTATCGGACTGTCGCGGCTCTGTGAAGGTGACCCAAACCCTTGGTAGTTGTCTGCGATAACCCAGACCCCTGTCACCACTTGGCAAACACAGACAGCTTTTTATCAAAGCGCTCCTCGACTGAATGGAGCCGGCCCCAACACTGGCCACTTTTTAAGCTTTAAGTATGAAAAGAAATGTTTCGGTTTGCTCAAAAAAGCCCACCACCCATTAAGTCGTTTATTTTTTTATTCTCCTACAGCCGAAAAAACTCTCACACAAGGCAAGGACCGGAGGACGCCTACTTCTCCAGCCCAGGTTAATATAAGAAGCTTTTATTTTTTTCCTAATTGTCCTCTCTTTCCCACTTCTCGGTGGCTCCACTCTCATCTCCTTGTCTGCTCTTCACTAATATGAGTAAATCCCCTCTCCAGAGCAACTGAAGCCTTTGAAGACCTACGTTGATCCTCACACATATGAAGACCCCAACACGGCTGTGCTTAAGTTTGCCAGCGAGATTCATCCGACCCACGTCAGCAAGCAGAAAGTGATTGGAGTAGGTTGGTATATTTAGTCCATTTTTTGTTCTTCATTGTTGTTGATGATGTCAGCAATAAAAAAAGTCGATAAATAATTCCATCATCAACTTTTTAACATTTTTACAGTGAAGTCCAACCTTGAGTTGGATAACGACTTAGTCTTGTATGCATGCGAGCAGATAGCGAAAGAAAAAGAACGAGTATGTTAAAAAAAGAAGTCTGGGAGCATTTTCTTAAAAGTAGCCTTAACTTAGCTTTCCATGGAAGCGCCATGAAAGTTACCTTCAAGTTCTGGAAAACTAAACAGCTGCTCGTCCTAAAAACCTGTTCACACATGAACTCGCATAAAAACATGCTAAAACGGATAAAAGATGCTGCAGCCTGAAAAGCTATAACAATCTGCGTATTTATTATTAAATAACTAGTTTTTAACTTGTATTTTATTTCTTAATGTAGCTCAAAATAATAGGCAGGCCTACACAAAGCCTCACATTTGAACAGGACCTTGGTTTATCAGAACATTGTTGTTATAGCTCTTCACATTTATAGGCCACATTTAAGCTGATTAATAGATTACTGCTGGATTAATTCACATGAATAATCAAATATCAAAATAATGATTTTTTGCAGCCCTACCTTTTTTTTTACGAAAAAAAAACATCAAAAATAATTATTTGGAATGATGCCATAGAAGAGTCACTTTTTTCAGTGCATGGTTCTGTTAAGAACCTGTTAAGAACCTTCACATTATGTAAAGGTTCTATATCACTAAAAATATTTTCATAGAACCATAAGTCCAACCCTAGAACCATTTAGAAACCTTTATTTTTGAAATTGTAGAGTGACAGTTAAAACATCAGAGGCCTGCCCTGTATGTTAGGACATATTTTTAGCGTGGCACGTTCCTCTCTCTAGAGAGCATTTTGTTTTCCTTCTAAAGACGAATGAAGCCAGTGAAGCCAGCGTTGTTTTCGTAACCCACTATATGGCCCTCTTGTGTCCTGCAGGCTTTAAAATAGAGTGCTAATAACAGACCAATTAATCTAGAGTTTATTTATGTGAAAGCACTCACTAAGAAACAGCTAATTTAAACAAAAGCCTCAATTTATTGGATATACCTCAATAGTCAGGCCTCCCTAACCCACTGATGAGAAGATTAGGGCAGTGTGGTCACCTTTCCCCTGTGAACTCCCCCGCAGGCCTTCCCACGGCCCTCTTTCACTTCTTCCTCTGCGCATGACAGCTGATTCCCATGCCCCCTCCAATCGCACGCGTCCACCCCTCCTCCACAGCCAGTCATTGACCACTCTAGGGTTTCATTATAGCCCACGGCTCCAGGTGCTCTCACCCACGTGCCTTGTTTACCATTTCCTCTTAGTGCTATCTGAGAAGGCTTCAAAGATTTTCCTCCAAATGTCACTTTAATAGCCCCTATACCAAACTGCATGAGATCATAGTACTTGATGTTTGGCTTATCTGACACCCTTATGTTTCTCTGCATGGTGGTGACTGTGCTTCTGTGCTGTAGGTGAGTTTGGAGAGGTTTATCGAGGCATCCTGAAGGTTCCTGGGCGGAAGGAGGCAGCGGTGGCCGTTAAAACGCTGAAGCCAGGCTACACTGAGAAGCAAAGGCAGGACTTCCTGAGTGAGGCCAGCATCATGGGCCAATTCTGCCATCAAAATATTATTCGTCTGGAGGGAGTGGTTACCAAATGTAACTAAAAGCTTTATTTTTTTCAGGGTTTAATTTCTTGGTGTAAATGAATCTTTCCCATTCATTTACATTTTACATTTCATGAATTTAATATTTGTCTCTTTTATTTTACAGTCAAGCATGTCATGATTGTCACTGAGTACATGGAGAATGGTGCACTGGACAAATATCTAAGGGTAAGTTTGCTACTACCATTTTGGTGTCATTTCTGTGTTGAACCTGGTCCTATATCCTGGTCAGCAGTGGTCCTGTGGTGGTCCTTTTCATTGATGGCCAGGGTAGACAGCAGCTGATAAACAGTGCAGGAACAGTGGAGCTACAGTTAGTAAATGTACACCTATAACATGCATCTATATTTTATGTATAACTGATAAAATGGCCAATGAGTGTAGATACAAGGTAGGTGTAATTAAAGGGCCCATATTCTCCTTTTTTGTGCATTTTGTTTTTTCCCCATGAGGTCTTGCAATATTTGTAGTGTTTTATTTTCCGAAATCTTTTTTTTTACATGATCATTTTCCAACCCCTGTTTATCCCTTAGAATGAAACAGTCTGTTTTTGTTACTGTGCCTTTAAGATGTTTATAAATGAGCTCTGTTCTGATTCGTTGTCCTGTATTGTACCTAATTAAAAAAGCAGGGGACCCAACATTCCTTATAACGTCAGTGCTAATTTGTGGGGATAAACTGCTGTAGATAAACTCCTGTATAGGCAGATGTATGTAAATGCATTGGTTTCTGTGACATCATAAAACCAGTGAGTTCAAAACAGGTTGTCTTTAAAGCTGTGTTTCCATATATGGGATAGGGAATGGAAGGAACATTTTAAAACTTAAATATGCTTACATACCACATCACACCTTGAGGAAAATGAAATGGGCCATTTAATAAACTAGGAACTCTGCGTATGTTGCACACATAGCTTTTAGAAAATGAGAAAAAATGTAAAATTGATGTAGACAGACTTTTTTCCTTATAAAACTTCTCAACCTTATTTCCTAGGATCACGATGGGGAAATGTCCTCATTCCAGCTGGTCGGCATGCTCCGTGGCATTGCAGGTGGCATGAAGTACCTCTCAGACATGAGCTACGTACATCGAGACCTGGCTGCCCGCAACATCCTGGTCAACTCCAAGCTGGAGTGCAAAGTCTCCGACTTTGGCCTGTCCCGAGTTCTGGAGGACGACCCTGAGGGCACCTACACCACCAGTGTACGTTCACCTAGCAATTTAATGAAATATTTTTGGTAGAATGTTTGCACAAGCTGTTCTCAGTTCCAGCTGTCTTTATTTTAACATTAGTTGGACCTTATTATTATTTCTTGGATGTTGTTTGAAACTGAAACGGTTGGTCAGACTCTTGTTTTTGTGGTTTCTTCCAAAGGGAGGCAAAATTCCCATCCGCTGGACCGCTCCAGAGGCCATTGCTTATAGGAAGTTTACCTCAGCCAGTGATGTGTGGAGCTTTGGCATAGTCATGTGGGAGGTGATGGCCTTCGGGGAGAGACCCTACTGGGACATGAGCAACCACGAGGTACAGCAGAGTCACACCTCACTGGCTCTGAACAGTGGCCGAGTGTCTTTAGCACACCTCACTAGCTCTAAAGAGTGACAGATTGTTCTTACTCTTATCTGAGACGGTCTTCATATGAGCAAAACATCTTCAATCTGATTGTCTCCCTTGTGTGTCCCTGCAGGTGATGAAAGCCATTAATGAGGCTTTCCGGCTCCCTGCTCCAATGGACTGCCCCTCTGCTGTGTACCAGCTCATGCTCCAGTGCTGGCTGCAGGACCGCTCCAAACGGCCCCGCTTCCAGGACATCGTAAGCTTGCTGGACAAACTCCTCAAAAGCCCTGACTCCCTCAAGGCCATTGCAGACTTTGACCCTCGGTGAGTTTACCTCATATTCTGTAGTTATACAAGCATTCCTACTGAAATAAAGCTACATCCAATCTTTTCTTTTGAGAATCAAACCTCCCGTAATTGTTTTGATGATGAGCATTTTCTATGATGGTAAAAAATATATTGGTGAAAAAAAAATTCTCTTATTAAAGTATTACAGACTGAAAAAAAATGAATATACAAGGTTTTGATATGATGATAAGTATAAACAGTACTGTGCAAACATTAGAGACCACCATTCATTTATTTAGTTTCCAGTCAAAACAGACATTAAGTACAAGTTATTCATTTTCAGGAGATATTTATGAGGAGATTAGAGATAAAATAATCAACCGGCAAAAGAAACAGGAAAGTCCAAGAAAAATATGTGGAAAAAAACAGCGGTTTCCACAAAAGTTGGAGTTCAAAAAATGATTAAAAGATAGAGGAAAAATTTGTCCCCTAACAATCATGTAAGACCTGGTTGACCACCAAAATTGTCACCACCAGATAAATAGGAGACCCAGATCTGAAAAAACCCACAGGTGTTTCTGTCTATCCTTCCAAATTGGCCCCCTCAGAGCTCAGACCTCAACATCATTGAATGTGTTTGGAATTACTTTGATTACGAGAAGCAGAAGGTGCAACCAACATCGAAGACTGAACTTTGAAGGTGTGCAAAAATATCCCTGCAGATTGCGCTGAAAAACTGAAAGCAAGACTCCCAAAAAGAGTGGAAGCTGTAATACAGGCAAAGTGTGGACACACTAATTGCTGAAAGATTAGATATTATATTTAGCTGTTGAGGCTTCTGTGTAATTTTCTATTAAATATATATTTTCTACTTTTTTTTCTTTGAAAAATGAGTAACTTGTACTGGCTGTTTTGACAGAAAATTAACTAAATGAAAGCTTGTCTCTGACTTACGAACAGTACTTATTTTGTCCCACCGTTCTGTGGGGCAAAAAAAGAAACTGGCTTTTAAATCAGTGTTGGTATTGAGAGACTAGCTTTGGTATTACTTGGCATCAAACCAGATGAAAGTCACTGGTGTCATCCATCCCTAGTGCACGGCTGTACATGGAAAGAGTGGAGATTGGGAAGTTGAGACATGCATAGTCTCACAAACGGGTTTCTGTTTTATAGAAAGTCAAACTATATAGCAAAACAATTGGGTCTCAGGAGAGTTAAGCCATGCATGAATTGGCTGTAGGAGATTAGTGTTTGTGATTGTCATGCTGTGTGTGCATATTTGTGTTGAGTGTGATAGGTTAGGATATTTTATCAGATCCTGTGACTGAACAAGCAGGTTTTTTCTTTGAATGCATGGCTCTTGCGCAGCAGTTGCAACAAAAGGATGCAAACAAAAAAAGCCACCCTTGTGTGGTCTACTGACGTTATTTGCATTTTGTCCCTCCCAGTGTTTCCATTCGGCTTCCCAGCACCAGCGGCTCTGACGGCTCTCCCTTCAGGTCCGTGTCTGAATGGCTGGAGTCTATCAAGATGAGTCAGTACAGCGAAAACTTCAGCATGGCGGGCATCGTCGGCATGGAACAAGTGCTGCAGATGAAGAGCGAGTGAGTAGACTGGATTCACCCACTAGGAATAGAGCAGACTTTATGAGAGAAGACTTATCAAGCACATTCCTTGAGTCAGAGTGATAGAACAAAATCTGTGAAGGCCCAGACATCCTGTCTTTTCCACCGTTGAGGTGCATGGTTGCACTGCACTGTTATCAGTTTATCGCTGTTACATTAAAAACTCAATGTTTTTCATTGATGTTTTATATCACTTGAAAACACCAGCAGCCCTTAAAGGGAAATTCCACAGAACTTTCAATATTTCTGCGTAATGAAATCATTGAGTCATTCAGTGTTTTGTTGTAAAATGATTTACTATAAAGAAGCTTAGATTTCTTTACAGTAAAACTAGGGGTCGCAATATTTGTAATGAAAACATAGCCATTTTACTTCCTGTCCAAAATGATTAGTGCACCTGCACATGTCTTCTAGGTTTATATTTGTAATGTTTATAATGATAAAACAGTGGTAAATCTGAAATATCCTGCATGTACCACCCAGCTATGAGTGTGTTTTTAAAATATAAATACAGTTTAGGACAAAAGCTTGTCTCAAAACAACTGTAAAACAATGTCTTTTGACAATGTTTTTGTAGCCATCTAGTTTCTGTGAGGGAGCTTTTAGAGGCATTAAAGGCTTAAGACCTATCACCACTACTTCTGACAGGATTCTGTAGAACACTGCATTGGCATCAACCCTGAATGACATCTTAACAATTTAATTATAAAGAAATAAAAAACAGTCCAATTTAACATTAAATGAACCTTTAATGAACAATAGACCAACAGAAGTGGTCCAAAATACCTACTAATAAAATGTTGTTACCTTCATACAAACTAAAGTTTAGAACATTTTTTCCTGAGGTTTTGTTAAGACAGCGATGAGGTAATCCTTAGGTTTTCAAAGAAAGTCTTCATAAGCATACGGATTACAAATCCAAGACAAAGTACGACTGCAGAGTTATTTCTCCTCCCGTCTGTGGGATTGAAAATGTATGAGGTTGCAAACCGTCATTATGCAAAACAAGCATTTGAATGAAATGGTCTCACAGGCCCTGATAAGATGAGCACAGTCTTTCATTGTGGAATCAGTGAAATCAGTTTGTGTTAAGAGCTCTCTTTAGCACGGCACATGATCAAAACTTTCATTGGACTGGTACGGACGGCATCGCGTTTGAGTAAGATTGTACCCTAAAGTTCCTGTAATTTTTGAAGAATGTATAAACAGTTGTTTTTGAAGCATAGTAAATTGAATGTGGCCTAAATTCATGTGCCGGTTACCAGCAGAAGCTTGCACAGCCACAGACCATTTATGCTTTACTGTATTTGGCCAGGATCAAAACCACATTGGGTAATTACTATTTAACTGCCTTGCAAGACATTTACACAAGCTTCACGATAAGCTTTTTACAGGGAGAGAATCCATCAGCTTGTTTGACGAGTAAAAACTTACTGTGTCGAGAGAGGACGAATGGAAAAAAATGGTGGTAAAAGGGCAAAGAATAGATTTTGTTTTTTCTTCTTTTTTTTTGGTGGCCTGGATGTGGTAGCTTGTGGCCTCCCTTCCTCCAAGCCTTCTGATGCCTCTTCTCATCCCTCCCTTTGCCCACAGCACCAGTCAAGGGCTGCGTGCTCAATGTAGCCAGTAACCACCGGTTGAGGCCATGGGCCATGTGGCGGCTCCTCTTGAAACAACAGGATAGAACGAAGAAAGGGTGGGAGGGGTGTAAGAATAAAGAGATCATTGAGGACAGAAATAATAACCAATATCTAATAAAAGTGTGGAGGGAAGCGTCCCTACAGAGGGAAGCGTCCCTACAGAGGGATAGATGCTGAGACCTCGTAGAAAAAGGCAGTCTAGCTGATGGATGGCTTTGAGGAGTGTGGGTGATGGAGAGCGGAGGAGGCTACTGTAGCTGGGTGTTCTCTGACCTCCAGCTCCACTCCCACGAGTGTTTTTAGCTTGGAAGCTGGATGAACTATGTGCGGAGAAACAGATATGCCTTTGATGTGTTGGTCGTGTTTTTTTTTTTCTTCTTGGTTTTTGTTTTATTTCATGGTTCAGTGTTCCATCTGTTGTCATCTGGTTGCACTCTTAAAAAGCCAGAAACTATTTACGAATCTTCCACTGCCTGGGGTTGCCAGCAACAATGACTCAAGGCAGCGATGGGGAAACCTTGTTAAGTCATCAGGGCTGTAAATTAAAACTGTAATTAGGACTTGGCTACCATGGCATTTGTGAAGTGTTGCTTGCATGTATAGCCTCTTTCAAGTAACACTTGACAAATGATATGGTATCTTGAAACTTTAAAGGAACACTCTGGCACTTTTCAGCTTAATCTCTTTATGGCACATTTATCTGTTTATTACTATGGACAGTAATTTCTACTTAGCCAGTCACACAAAAATCCTATAATAGAAGTCTTTGGGCAGTTGCTGAAGTCCACAAATAAATGTTCTAAAAATGTGACTCTATAATGCGAATTTTAAACTACTACCATTATGCATTAAGAATACAGGACTTGAAATGAGACAGACATGAGGGAATGTCTTACCAAAGCTGTTTTATTCAGTTTTATCCAATTTAAACAATGAAGCCACGCAGTAAAAAAGTAGTTTTGGTTACATTCACTTTCCATAAGGCTTTCTGGTCTCATTCAGGCAGGAGTAAAAACATCACCCACAACACAAAGCTGCAAACACATTACCTCAAATCCATCTCATTGGAGACTAGTCATATCTCTCTGGAAGAACCAGCTTTTGCAGATTTACAGCTTAACTTAGAAAACACCTCTGAGTGAAGGATTCGTGACAGTGCTACAAAATTTGCTTCGCATAAAAGCTAACAATGTAATTCATTGTTTTCTTCTACTATAGAGTTTAGAGTTAGCAGGTTTTGTGGTCTTTTCAAGCAGCACATGGGAACGTCGAAATGACTGCGATAATACATCATATACCATAGATGGTGCACATAGAGAATAGGCTGAAAATGCTGGAGTATTCTTTTAATCTAGCACAGCAGCCTACCCTTTTCCTTACATTCTCCCAACTTCCTCTCTTCCAGGGATATCCGAAACATTGGAGTCCGTCTGCCGGGGCACCTGAAGAGGATCGCCTACAGCATCTTGGGACTTAAGGACCAAACCAGCACCCTGAGTGTATTCGCAGTGTGAAATACTCCCAGAGAGTCTGGAGCTCGCTCCAGGGGAACCAGGAACCCTCTGTGGACTGAACTCTAAGCTGCGCTGGGCTTGGGCTGCAGGGACGGCCTTTGACCTGGGCATCACCCTCCAGCCTATCAAGACGGACTCTCACAGCAGTGGAGACTTGTAGCAGATTTGATATGCTTATCAAAACGGAGGGCGAAGGGATGCAAAAACTAGCAAAAAGCTAAAGATGTATCAGACCAACCTTGTACATTAGAAATATTATATTTTTACAACACAATCTTTTCTTTCTTTTTCAGAAAAAAGTAAAGTTATGTTTCTTACATTATTTCTTCTGTTTTTGTTTAGTTTCATGTGCATGCTTACGTTGCCAGCAAATGAACAAACATATCAGGCATTCTGCTCTGTTGTGATCCTGTAGCAAAACTATATGGATAGAGGTGTAGTGTGGTAGTCAGCATTGCCAGGTCTCAATCAGAATGGCCCTTTACTCCACTGATCTTGCCTTGCGCAATAGCACCATCTTTGTTTTGTGCTTTGGGGAAAGAGCACATGACTACTTGCTTGACTTGCTGATAAGAGAGTCATTTATCTGATGGTCTTCTGTAGCAGAGAGTGGGATAATGGTTGTAGGTCAGTTTATGAGAATGGCTAATGTACTCCAGAACATAAAAGGCTCTAAAGCCCTCAGGGTCCTGCCGTGGCTTGAGCTGGCCGGTGTTCTGTCTGCTATAAGCAAGTTTGACATTGCCATTAAGCTGTTAGCGCTACGAGTTTCGAAGTCTTTCTAAAATACTATGGTCTGAAAGAAATGGCGAGGGTAGGCACTCTGAACCTTCAGTTTTCAGCAAGCATGAGGAGCAGGGACACCACGGCAAAAATAGCACTTAAATAAGAAATTTCGGAGGACTTGACTGGCTTTAAATGCTGGGCTTTTCTCTGTCCCATCTTTCATTCTTTATCATTATGGAGTATTATGGTAATGTGACATTCAGAACCGAGCCAAAATGACAAAATGGAAATGGGTAAAGAACCAAAAATGTTACAAAAGGTTATAATTTGATGTGCATAACTGCAGAATCATGTCAGGTTGAATCAGATGAAAATATATAATTCTGCAGTGTGATGCCAGCGTTTGTGATGTGAGGGCCAAATGACAATCCAAACAAGCAGAAGGAAACTATTGCAGAAATCTACAAGCAGTTGTAAAGGCTGAGATGAAAGACTAAATCGTGTTATTGATTTTGTACCAGCACATCTCTGTTTACTAGCATGATAATGATGATGCAGATTCTCTAGATTACTTTGGCAGGCTTATTTTGTGCTTTGTGAAAGCAGCCGTTATGGGATGAAATGCTGTACTCTGCATTGACTTTTTTCCACACTGTCAAATTTTTAGTCTTATTTGGGGAAAATTCCACTTTTCTTTCCTTTGTCACAGGATTGTAATAGAGAATGTGCGGCCTTGTAGTGCCTTACTGAGGATTTCTCTCACCATTTAATTTGTAGATGTTAAATGCAAACAGCTTTGCTGATGATGATATTTAGTTTTTGTTTGCCACTGATCTAATGTATTCTCCCTCTATGATACTGTAAGTGTGGTATCTGATTTCTCAATGGTGACCTCACTGTGTGGTCATGATGTGGCAAGATACCCACACAGAAAAAGGAAATATTATTGCAGTTTTGATCTCCTTTCTTGAATTGAGTTATAGTTCTTATTTTTTTTCCATGTTTGAAATTGCCCTGTCTTGCCTACTTTACCCATATGTTGAGATTTGACAAGGAAAAAAAAAACAGTTAAAATATACATCACACATTGGCATATTCTCGCTTAAAAGTCAGATTTGCCCAATTGTTTTGTACCTTATTTAATAGTCTATTTATTTTTGTTTTATTTATTGTGTTTCAAAATATTGAGCTGAGATTTTTTTTGTAATTGAAGTTTTTTTTCAGTCACAATAAAATCTTTGTAGTCTTATTTTATTACCGTTATTTCAATTGTTTATTCTGCTTTTCATATTCAGAAGAATGCAAACATGACAGTGACTAAGAGACAGTTTAAATAAAAACACTCCCAGAAAAAAAAGGTATGAAACTGTCACTGAGGCAGTAACCCTTTTGTCACTGGGGTGGGACCCTGAAGGGTACATCTCAGTACCTTTAGTCAGGGAACATAATTGTACTATAATCCATTGAATTATATTTTCTAAGTTTTATTGACTCCACACACCCCGTCTCGTCTCCAGGCTTTTTATTCTATTGTTCTGTTTTAAAACATTAGGCTTTAAAAATGTATAAATATGTACTTTTCCACTTAAAAACTTATTTAAGATACACAATTGGACCTTAAAACCACTGTTGTACCTTTGAGGGAACATTTACATTGTTTGTACCTTGATGAATGAAAAATGTATCTGCACAGAACCTTTATTTCTAACAGTGTAGATATAAAATTAGAATTCCAGAGTTGCTACAAGCAATTTCAGTGCATAAGAACGAGTGTAAAACTACACTCTTAAGAATTATTTTTGTAAGTGAGTGTGAATGTGAATAAACGTTTTAGGGCCGGTGTCATGGACATGGATTAAGGCCAGTCTTGAACAAAATAGCAATGTCAAGTGTGCTTCACTGTTAAAACCCCTATTTAGACCAGGTTTATCTTAGTCTGGGAACCCAGCACATACATTTTAAAAACGTCCACATAATGTAAAGGTTTTATACTAATAAAAGGCCTTCCTATAACCATCAGTCCAAGCTAGGGGTGGTAAATTGTACTTTGCTGTATACTTGAAATGTTTTCGAACATTTGTACTCAAATACCAAAAAAAGAATACTTTTACCCAATGAAATTTCTGTAAAGAAAATAAATTTTACTTCTTACATTTTTATTTAAACCTTCAAAGCACTCATTACAAATCTCAAGGCTGGGAGATTTTGCTCTTTTTCTCTGGTCAGTCAGCTGGGTTGTTTTTATTTAAACATCCAACCAACTCTGTTATGCCTCAACTTTGCCTAACATACTGAACCTAACACCTAACTTATACCTAACTTATTGCAAATTACCAATGATTAGTCACTACACCACACACCACCAAAGAAAACCTCAAATCACTGATTTGTTAAAACACTTTTATATTCTTCAGTACAGTTTAAATGTAAATCTTTATTTAAGATTTTGACACAGTACCCATTTAAGCATAGTTTCTCTTTTTACATCCTGGTCTAAGCCTTGTATTTCTGTTTTTATCATTTTTTGATATCATTTGAAAACATCAGCTACCCTTTATATTTTGTGAACATTTCGCGAAGAATGGACCAACAGAAACCTCAAATAACCGGAAATAAAATCTTTTTACCTTAACTTGCATTAAAAGTTAACAACACTTGTTCCTTCCTCTGTAAAGTCACCATTTTAGAGATATGAGGTTTTTGTCCGACAGTGATGATAAGCAATAAGAAGGAATGGAATATATTGTTACCTCTGAGTCAGGGTTTGTGACATTCTTGTTGTCGAGATACTCAAAAGGCCCTTGTTTAATCAGCTACTGATTTGGAGATCCACCTTGAATCAGGGTCAAATGTTAATCTAGCATGTAATCCTCTAGGACAATTCACCTTGTCCTTAAAGTTAACCCTCCCATTCTCACTGAACCTGAACTGCTAGGGGATTTTTGTCTGGCGCCCACTGTATTGAATTTATCAGCCGCTGCTGAATGATGTAGGTAACAATGTCACTAATGCGTTCTTTAGATAAGCTGGAAATGTCAGAAAAAGGAATGTAAATATTTAGATACGGGAATAAGCCGGCTGGGAAAGCTGGAAGACAAAGAAATAGCATCGGGCAAGTTCAACAGGTAGATGGAGCATGGGAACAAATAGCTTGCCATCCTTTTTTTCTCAGACCATTATGTTTGTATGTGTGTCTGTGGCTCTGCGGCTTGCCTTATGCTCTTTCAGGTTGTGCCCGTCTCAGGGCCCTAAAATGGCTCTCACTTTGAGGGGGGAGACCCGAAACCAGAGCCGCGGGGAGATTTTCCGTCATCTGTTTTTCCATAGTGTGCGTCTCATGTGGTTAGATGTGTTTCTGTTTGCCTATGGTTAGGAGGGGAAGAAAAAGTAGAGGCAGAAACGCAGCCAGCAGTGCCGATTTTCAAGTATTAACCAATGAAAGCATTTGGTACGATGCATTTGTAAGCACATGTAAACAGAACTGTACGCGTCTGCCTGCACTTTTAATGTCTGCGGGTTGTGTGCTCCTCACTTCTCTCCGTATGTGTGGGTGTGGGTGTGTGTTTGCGACTCCTCCAGGCTTAAACTGCTAGCCACAATAGCATGTGTGGGGACTGTGTCGAAGGCCGGGCTTGAGTGCCCTGATCGCTGTACACATGGTTGTGCTTTCACTGTGGACTGGGCTGTGTGAGGCCTGCGGCTTTCATTTTTTGGGTTTCCTCTTTCTTTTTAGTGGCCTTGCTCTTGAAAGAACACTCCCTCCACCTCTTCCTCCTCCACCTCCTCACTCCCCCCTCCCCGCTGTAAAACCGATCATGCTACTGTTCATGTATGACTTTGCCCAATGTATAAGCTTGCCCTTTTGTCTCTTTTCTTTTCTTTTTTTGTCTTTTCTGTCCGTCCTCCTTTTTCATGTACGCATTCAAAGCCAGCAGCGTTGTGGAATTTACATCCCAGCTAATTTTAGAGATGGGTTTCTGACCAAAAAACACATCCTCCAATTTGGGGCTATATTGGTCTTCCTTCTTCAGCTTTTCTCTCTCCATTTCTCACTCTCTCTCACATTTCTTTCTCTCTCCCTGCCTATGTTCCTCACTATCTTTGCCAGGGTCCCTCCCTCAGCCTCTCTGGTTTCTTAGTCCCATTTTCTCTGTATCGATGGTTCTCTGCCTGTGGTCAAACGACCAATGAATCACAGCAATCTTTCTTACAAAAGAATGGTCTGTTTCACTCCTACAGGCAGACATTTTTACAACAAACCAGGCAAAAACACAGAGCACAGAAGGCGTTTCATTTGTCGTGATAAAAAGTGACAAAACTTCTGATATCCTGAGATAATCATTATGCCTTTTAACCAATATCATATTGGCAGTTTTACTAATCACACACTAATATATGCAAACCTTATTTATCTAATCAATACAACAGTTTCTGTTAGTGTAACATTGTTTCTCAAAGTTGGTGGAGTGATAAATGTGAATGCACTTGCTCATAAGTGCAGTGTGTACTGTAAACAGGGAAAACATTTCCTCCTCACTCTTCAAAATCCAGATTTGTGTCCTTCGCTCTTACAGACAACGATGTGAGAGGTTGTTCAGTGTGGTAGACCCACTCTTCTTGTGCAGCTGGTGTAATCCAGTTAATAGAATTACAGTTATAACATGGGTTAATTCCAGATGTATGCAGATTGTCATTGGCCTAAATTTGTAAGAATTATTAATAGAGTACAGCACTGTGCAAAATCGCCACCCCTCATTTATATATTTTCCAGCCAAAACAGCTGATAAGCATTAGGACAGCAAACAGATACACCTCAACAATAAATTCAATACATTTTTCCAGTATTTAAGTCCACACTTTATTACAGCTTTTATTGTTTTCTGCAGGGATTTTTCCACACTAAAGTTCGGTCTTAGAAGTTGGTTACATTTTCTGCTGCTCCCGATCCAAATAATCCCAAACACATTCAATGATGTTGAGGCCTGGACTCTGGGGTGGTCAGTTAGTTCTGGGAACACCAGTAGCTTCTTTGTTGATTTTCTTCTTTTTTGTCTATTTCCTTTTCTCAGAAAGGTCTTCTTGACAGCTACACATCCTTTGAGACCCATAGTGTTGACTTGTCTTCTCACAGTGGAAGGATGGACAGAAACTGATGTAAAGTAAGCATGGAGCTTGATTTTCTCAAAGATACAAGCTTTAAGTTCCGTTTATCTGATTTTGGTGGTCTACCAGCTCTTGCACGAGTTTTAAGAGTCCCATTTTCTCTGTAGCTTTTAATGATTTGTTGATCTCCAATTTGGAAACTCTTCCTTGCTTTCATCAGATTTTCTTCTTCTTTATGTAAGTGGATTATTTTATTTCTAATCTGTTTAGAAATATCACCTGAAAAATGAAGATCTTGTACTTGACTAGAAATGTAGGGTGGTCTCTGACTTTTGCACACTACTCTGTATGTATGTATTTTTTTTTAAAAGGCCAGAATGTGACTGACTTAATGTAAGTTTTATAGTACATGTAACTTTATAGTGCCCCCTCCCATGCCTTGGAAACCAAAACTATGCCACTGTGGTTACTAAGTGATCATAGCAAAAGCAATATTGTACTACACAATAGCTGGATAGTCTTAAGTGTGTGTGTTGCTAAGATAAGCAATCTGTTCCTGTGAAGACTCTACCCTTTTGCTATTTTATTACACTGCCATTTCCAAGTTAGTGTTTCCTAACAGCCGTTGCCCTGTGGTGAAAGTGCCTTTGTTAAGTTTATCTATTAACACGCATATCTTATCTGCTCATTTTACAACATGCAAGCTGGATCTGATTAAGTATATGTTCTACAGTGTAACTCATGTGTTGATATACTGGGAGCATGGCTCCTTTAAAACTTGACAAAGAGAGCACACTCCTTGATTCACCTTCTGATTCACGTTTCTACTTATGGCCCCGTTGCACAAAATTATAAGGAAAAACGTCTAAAAAGCTTACCAGACGTTTTACCCGAAACCATAACTTGTTTAAGAAAATAAACAGAACTTTTTTCCAGTTTTCTCCTCTTCTTTTTAGTTTGCTCTGGTTTAGGTTTTCTTGTTCCTGAGAGCCCATGACAGTCTTTTCAAACTTTATCACTTCTCTGTCTAACAGCGTTCTGCAGCGTTTC